CGGGGGGGCCCAGGGAAGGTGAGCGCGGCGAGGGGAGGACGGGGAACGAGCAGGAAGAGGATCCTGGCGGGGTGAAGCCCCGCGGGGCCGAGGCAGCGGCTCCTGAGGGGCAGCAGCGGGCGTCGCTCAGAATGTGGGTGCTGTGGCAGCGCTGCCCCAGTGCTGGAGAAGAGAAGGCTCCGGGGAGACCTTAGAGCGCCTTCCAGTGCCTAAAGGGGCTCCCAGAGAGCTGGAGCGGGACTTCGTACAAGGGATGGAGTGACACGGCCCGGGGAATGGATTCACGCTGACAGAGGGTGGATTTAAATCGGATATTTCCCCGTGAGGGTGGGGAGGCCCTGGCACAGGTTGCCCACAGAAGCTGTGGCTGCCCCTGGATCCCTGGAAGTGTCCCAGGCCAGGTTGGACGGGGCTCGGAGCAGCCTGGTCTATGGAAGGTGTCCCTGCCCACGGCAGGGGTGGCACTGGGTGACCTTTAAGTTCCCTTCCCACGCCCCCAGGCTGTGATTTATGTTTGCAGTGCCCAGCGGTGCCCGCAGCCCTCAGGGTGACGCCCCTGGCCCTGCTCAGCTCAGGTTTCCAGCAGCAGCTCCCGGAATCCACCCCGTGAGCACAGTCACCATCTCTGCATACCTGAAGAATTAAACAGCCACCCAGCCAACACCCACAAAGCACCTGTTAGCAGGTTTGCACATACTGGAGCTTTATTTCTCAGGAGAGGAAAAGTTGGTGTCACTTGGATTTTACCAAAGGAGCCTGTGCTCACACACCAGGTGTAAATTCCCACTCTTGCCTGTCTCAGCTTTGAATATTAATTTCAGAGAAGCCAAGTGATAAATAGGTGGGCAAAATACACAGGAGCAACATTCCTGCAGGATCCTGTTTGGACAGACTGGTACTTCCACATCCCCAGACAGCACTGCCTTCCCAGCAGGGATGAAAGAGAATTGGACATTTTCAGGAATCAAATCCCCTGGGATTTCTGTAACCATGGTAACGTGTATAGATGGCAGGCCTGGTTCCAACCTGTGTTTGACTGTTCCAGCAGTAAAAAACTGGATTCTGTAAATAACCATTTTAATTCCCCATTAAAACAACATTTTAAAAAGTTCTCTATTGCTCCAGTAAACATTCAGTATAAATTGCCAAGATCACTTCCATGATAAACCTGTGTGGGATGTCTTGTTTCCTACGTGGAAAAGGGGAGAATATTCAGATTTGTAACGAATGCAAAATAAACATGAATTTATTTTGGAATAATAAATTCATATTATACTGTTTAATAAATAACAGAACTAGTGCCTGAAATAAAATTAAAAAATGAAAAGCATCCCCTTGAGATTTTCATGTGTTTTATTGAGGTGAACATACACATGGTCCACACAGTCAATGAAAATAGTCATAAAATAATTTAAGAACTTGTGTTGAAAGGTATTAGCAGCACCATCAGTATTGGAATACCAGAAAACACGTCTCCAAAGGGCAGTTATGCCTGGCTAAAATGCCATCATCTGGAACAGGGGATGGGAATGGCTTTGTTGGATGCTCTGGGGAGTTGGGAGTTTTTTTTTAAAACACACTTTTTTTTTTTGCTAAATACTTTTGACGATCATTGTTACAAAAAAATACAACTAAATAAAGATACTGCATAGTATTTTAATGAACATAAAATCGACATGGAGGTGTGTAAAGCAAGACCCAAATCTCTGCTTCCACATACATTTCCTTTCTGAGTAGAGAAATCTAAAATTTAAAACCAAAATATAGACCTAGTGTATTCTCTAAAAGACACACCTTAGGTGGAACATATTGGACTACGAAAATACATATCTCCTGTTCTGTTTAATAATTTACTTTAGTTAAAAAGCTGTGAAATTCTCCTCACAAGAAGCGTATACAAATCGATGACTTTAGTAAATTAACAAAAAGGATTAATTTTTTGTGTTCGTTTTTTTTTTTT